CAAATGTGTGTTTAACTTTGAGTGTATTAGAGAAATAAGAATTGAAATTAAAAGCAGAAGCATCTTTGGTAAAAAACACCCAATAAAATGACACAATTATTGAGAACTTATAGCGATACTGATACCAATACAAAAGTATCGATCGATGTATATCGGTGATACATGTATCCCTATACTGCCCATCTCTGCACACGTGTGGCTGTGTGTGATGCGAGAGAAATAGGTAGACAGACATTAGGTACCTGAAGAGTAAATGAAGGATATACAACGCCGTTTTCCTTTAACACCATTCCAAAGAATCTTCCAACTACTCTTATGTATTATTTGTGTTGCGCAAAAGGAAGTTGCGCTATATATAAACGCAGGTAAGCTTACGGTTCTTGGCAAATGATTTTTGTATCGTGGCCAGCCAAGTAACATATATATGGTGGTCAGTTCTGCCTTCGGTCCAGTGGGAAGCGGGACGCGAAGTGCTCGCGGTGGCGTTACCGAGCTGAGAGTAAGTCTTCATTGGTGGGTGTGTAATGAGTATTGTTATTTGCGGCAGAGAGAAGATCCAGGAATGCACTTTACGCACGCATCTCTGTCGTATGAAACGATTACACTTAGATATACTAGTTTTCGTTTTTAGACCTTAGTTATCTCAGAAGGAAATATCCGTTAAATCTCGTGTGACAGAAGTATAAAGAAGGAATAGTGAAGATGAAAATGTAAATAAAAACTTTCTGGCTATAGGTCACTCAGTGTGTCATATGTGTATATGCAGTTTCGGTATGCATATATCATGTTCATTGGTTGTGTATTTGTACATCCGTGTGTGGTGCATGTGTATGTGTGTGTGTGTGTTTGTGTCTGCGTGTGTGTATGTGTGACAAAGAAAGAGAGAGAAAGATTTGCAAGCGTAGCTTCGCCTGTATATACACATATATACATAAGTATGTATGTGTGTTTGTATTACGCGTATGTGTGTGTTTTATAGTATGTGTATGGGCATGTGTACATGTGCATAGCTGCATCTACATCTATTTCTGTGTGACTTTGTATGTGTGTGTGTATGTGACACCAGCTTACATATATGCACACATATATCTACACCCACACAGTTATATATATATACATATATGTATGTATATATACATATGTATGCAAATATATACATATATATATATAATATATAATAATATATATATATATATATTATATATATATATATTTCTGCATATATAAATATGTATATATATATATATATATATATATATATATATATATATATATATATATATATATATATATATATATATATATATATATCTGTATATATAAATATGTATATATATATATATATAATATATATATATATATATATATATACACACACACACACGGACACTCACGCGTGCGTGCGTGTTACTGTGTGTGCGTACGTCTGTCTGTATGAGTGTGTGAGAGTGTATGCATGTGTTTATAAAAATATGTATACCTGAAAGTGATTCTTTTTTTTTTTTTAATCAAATGATTTCAATAATTGTCAAATCTCTTTAACTTTCAGGCTTTAGTATCCGAGTGAATCTATCATTTGAGTCTCTAATCGCTCTGCCACCATGCCCGGCCACGTCAAGAAGAGCACGGGTCCCGACCCCGATCCCACCGAATACCTCTTCATCTCTCGGGAGCAGAAGATGAAGGATCAGGCGAAGCCTTATGATCCCAAGAAGTCCTACTGGTGTCCTGATCCCGATGAGGGCTTCGTCGAGTGTGAGCTTCAAGGTCCGAAGGGAGACAAGCTGGTAACAGTCAAGGTTCCAGTGGCGAGATGAAGGACTTCAAGAAGGAGCAGGTCGGACAGGTCAACCCTCCCAAGTACGAGAAGTGTGAGGATGTGTCCAACCTGACCTTCCTCAACGATCCCCTCCGTCTTCTACGTCCTCAAGTCCCGTTACCAGGCCAAGCTTATCTACACCTACTCTGGTCTCTTCTGTATCGCCGTCAACCCCTACAAGCGTTACCCCATCTACACCAACCGTGCCGTCAAGATCTATATCGGCAAGAGGCGTAATGAGGTGCCCCCTCATCTCTTCGCCATCTGCGACGGTGCCTACCAGAACATGACCCAGGGTATGCATCTCACATTTTCATTTCTCAGAATGTTTTTTTTTTTTTTTTTTTTTGATATTCAGCAATAAACAGAGTGGATAATTTTTCTTCCTTTATATCTCAACTATCACTTTTTTCTTTCTTTACAGAACGTCAGAATCAGTCCATGCTCATCACGTAAGTTCTTATATCAAATAAGATGAATTCCAAGAAAGCAATTTATATAAGGTTTTTGGTATGTAATATGTAAAGAGAAATCATTTACGTGCTAAAATTAGTGTTTCTATATCCAATCTTTCTTATTTCCACAGTGGCGAGTCTGGCGCTGGAAAGACTGAGAACACAAAGAAGGTGTTGTCTTACTTCGCCAACGTCGGTGCCAGCGAGAAGAAAGAGGGAGAGCAAA